ACCGCTTGTTTTGCCAAATGCAGCATTTCCAACCTCCCCCATAAGTGTCTACAATATGAGGATCACTTAATCCTCTTCCATTTTTGAAAACTTGATTTTTAAAAAGCATTTTACACAATAATATCTAAGCTGTATGGAAATTAAATGCATATTATTAACATATCTCACAATTGTACAGATTTACTCAGAAATGTTTTAATGGTTTTGTAAACTAATCTTGTGGGCTAATGAGTGGGCTCAGAACTTCACGCAGAGAACTCCTAGCCCTTGGAACACCTCTACTAGGTAGGCAACATCCAAAATGAAGTAAGAAGGCCAGCAAGAAAGGAGACACAGATGCAGAAACCAAGCTTCAACTTCATTCTGTTTTCAATCAGAAGCTGTGTTTTTTCCACCAGGTTCTGTGCTGAACAAAGCACAAATACACTTCCTTAGCATCATTATCTCCCAGGCAAATTGCAAAATTGCTACAGAGAAGTAACAGAGTTGAGTTAAATGAACCATTTAGTTGAAAGGCTAGCGTCGAGAGTAACTCTGCTTATTCAACTGCAGTTTACCTAGGACAAACCTTTAGATATGATAAAGCCAGTCACAGTGAACACAGTGAAGCCAGAACCAGCACGTCAGGCTGGCTTGCCATGTGTGTGTGTGTATACATGATTTACCAACTAACTACCAAAGCTTTGCCATGGAACAAAATAGAAGTGCCTTTGCACCTTAGACACCACACAATCAGACCGACAACCGCTTTTGAAAGGACCGAGCATAAGGATCTAGGTTTTTGGTTTTGGTCTTAGAAACAATTCCTCATGGATGTCAGAAAAAGGGTAACACTGCTAGAGGGAATACAAACGTGCAGCCACTATGGAAATCAGTGTGTTAGCACCTCAAAAGGCTAGAAACAAATTTACCTCATGATCCAGCTATACCACTCCTGGACTTCATATCCTACTCCAGAGTACTCATTCATGTTCGCTGCTGCTCTGCTCACAACAGCAGAAAAGTAGAAGCAGCCTAGGTGCCCATCAGTGGATGAATGGACAGTGAAAATGTAGGTAGTATAGTTACACAATAGAATTCTATTCAGCCGTAAAGATAAATGAATTTTTGAAATTTGTAGGTAAATGGATGAAGCTAGAAGTAGACTCTTTAGATATATGTATTTAAACTGCAGTACCCACAGAAGGCAGGAAACAGTAAGGGGACATGAAAGGGGCAAGGTTTCAAGGAAAGGGGCTAGAACAATGGTGGAATGAAGGAAGAAAGGGGAATAATGGAAAAAGAAAGACTAACTGGGTTGGGACATGGGAAGCCAAGGTAGAGAGGGAAGGATAACACTGAAGACCTTTGCAGAGGCTTCCTAAAATGCACATATACACATTAAGGAGGTTTAAACAGAGTCACCCGGTAACAGGCAAGGGGAGTGGGAAGGGACAACATCCCCAGATATCCCAGGGTATCAAATAAAAACCCAGAGCCAGGAATGAGTCACCTTTTCCTGAGCTACTGGTCCATGAGTTCCTATAGACTCAACCCCCCAAATTACAGGCTATTATCACTGTTCCAGGTCATCCTTCAGAAGTTGATGGTGAGACCCTATTGCTGAAAACACCACACGCCTGACACATAGATCATAGAAAAATCTAGCTGGTAATGACCTGGAAGCCACATCCCTACTTGTCAGTTTTCATGGTGTTAAAAGGTTTTATGTATGCTACAGGGGGAGAAAAGTCTTCAACAGCCTAGCCCAGCTGGAAGGTCTACAACTGGCCTGACAAAATATGCCTACTTTTACAAAGGTGGCAAGAACATTATGGGAGTAGCCAACCAGTTTTTGATTGGATTGAAAGCCTGCTCCACAATATGGACCCTACATCAGATACTGATAACTGGGACAAAAACACGTGACTTCTAGGTGAAAGGCTCTAGAAGAGAACCTAATACTATTACTCTGCTAAATGAACATAGTAAGAAACCGCCCCTTCAGTTCTTAGCTTTACAGGCACAGATCTGTGTATCTCTCAGCACTCATCAGAGAAGCTTCTTTTTGCAGTAGATGGTGATTAATACAGAGACCTAAAACCAGTCGATGCGCAAATGCTGCCATGTCTAAACGGGACATCTATACCACGCCCACACCCCAAAGCTTAGGGAAAAGAAAGGATGTGGGTGAAAAGACTGTAGGAGCCACAGGGAGTATATGTACAAGAGCAAGCCCACTAAAATCCCAAGATGGATGCGGAGAGGCTTATGAACTATTGGCAACTGATAGCTGCTGTGAGAGGGAGCCAGTTTTCTTCAGAGATGGAAGTCCAGAGAGGCTACTCATGCTCAGTAAGTAGTCCCACACCCATGTACACACAGGTAGAACAAATTGGACCAAGTTATTTTAAAAGAGGTGGGTGGAGGGCTGGAGAGATGGCTCAGTTGATAAGAACAATGGCTGCTTTTCCAGGGGACACACATTTGACTCCCAGCACCCACATGGTACCCCATCATCACCCGTAACTCCAGTCCCAGGGGATCTGATACCCTCTTCTGGCCTCTATGGGCATCAGGCATATTCATGGTTTACAGACATACATGAAGGCCAAATATTTACACACATGCAGTAAAAATAAGTAAATATTAAGACAGAGTACATGAAGTTGGAGGAAAAGGGGGGATGTTGGAAAGCAGGGGTGTGGATTTGATTTGATCAAAACACATTTATACACATATAGGGCTCAGCAGTTAAGAGCACCTGTCGCTCTTGCAAGGGACCCGGGTTCAATTCCCAGTATTCACATGGTGGCTCACACCATCTGTCACTCCAGTTCCAAGGTATCCAATGGCCTCTACTGACCTCCACAGGCACCAAGCCCAGGTGTGGCTATAGCAGTGGAAACCCTGACCAACACACCAAGGGTATCGACCAAACCATCGGGTCTCCATTCAGTCTCTATATTTTCAAAAGGCAAATGTTAAACAAATTAACTCCTTAACTGAGACCTCATAATCTCAAAGAAGGAGGAACTAAGGAAACCACTAAAACTGTGGTTGACAAGTTCAAGTCAGCTTCTTGGTAGCTTAAAACACATTACTTCCCAGTTCTCTGTTTCTGCCTGTCAAAATTTCCCTTTAAAAAAAGAAAAAAAAGAGAAGAAACATGAGCTTGAGTCCAGACTACTTTAATATTAGCATATGAAAAGATCATTTCTAAAATTCATTGCAAACTGTTCTCTCAATGTATATCATATATATAATAAGAGGAATTCTCAGATGCTCAACTCATAGATTCTTGTCAATGCAATAATGAATTAAATTATATGGTTTGAAGAAAACACCAGTGACTTCAAACGGCTCAGTTGTTTCCTACTACTTGTCTCCCATCACCTGAGCCAAGAATGTTCAGGAATGTTTATTTTCAAGTGTTACTTATGGTTTTATTACTTTAAAAAGTTTCTAGCCCTGGTTAACAAAATTGTGAACAATCAAATAAACTTAGGAAAGTGTTTGGCCATGGCTCATCTGTGAAAACATGACAGTGTCTCATGGAAGCTTAAATCATAGAGGGCAGTGCAATTTTCTTATGAAAACATTAACAACGACTTGACATCATTAGATACTGTTTCTTTTCTTTTCTTTCTTTCTTTTTCTCTTGTTTGTTTTTAGAGACAGGGTTTCTCTGTGTAGTTTTGGTGCCTGTCCTGGACCTTGCTCTGTAGACTAGGCTGGCCTCAAACTCACAGAGAACCTCCTGGCTCTGCCTCCCAGAGTGCTGGGATTAAAGGCGTGGGCCACCACCGCCCAGCTGGATACTGTTTCTTAGCAAAATGCTGGTAAGGTCAAGAAATGTTTTTTTAAAAGCATCCTTTCACTACCTGACAGTTTCTTTTGAAACAAGAAATCTCCCCCACCAAAATGCTGGGGCACCTATGCAGCCATGGCTGACCCAAAACTCCATATTTAGACCCAGACTGGCCTCAACTCACAGTCTCGCCAGCCCAGAGGGGATTAAAGGCATGGCTACCACTGCCCTGATGAATTTAAGATTACTGGACGGTGGTGTTGTGCGCCTTTAATTCCAGCACTCGGGAGGCAGAGCCAGGTGGATCTCTATGAGTTCGAGGCCAGCCTGGACTACCAAGTGAGTTCCAGGAAAGGAACAAAGCTACACAGGGAAACCCTGTCTCGAAAAACCAAAATAAAAGGATAACTATTATCCTTCCTTTTACATCAAGAAAATGAACAGGGCCGGGCGGTGGTGGCACACCTTTAATTCCAGCACTCAGGAGGCAGAGCCAGGCGGATCTCTGTGAGTTCAAGCCCAGCCTGGTCTACAGAGCGAGATCCAGGGCAGGCTCCAAAATTGCACAGAGAAACCCTGTCTCCGGGGGGGGGAGGAGAAAGGAAGGAAGGAAGGAAGGAAGGAAGGAAGGAAGGAAAGAAAGAAAGAAAGAAAGAAAGAGAAAGGGAGAGAAAGAAAATGAACAGGTCCAAAGTCCAAGTTATGAACAGTTTTTAGGCCAATACTATTTCAAAAAGTCAGGGATGGCAGCTTCAGCATTTAGAAGAGGTCAGTTATGCCTCAAAAATCTTCATTCAAAGTAATATCTGCCTTTGTGACAAAAGTCAGTAAGGTATTTGACATACATAGTTCTGCCTGGAGGTTAAAACCCCTTCACTATCATATATAGTGATCCCAAGTCTCTGCTAAAGAACTGAGGGAACACAGGGCAGATGCACGGACCCCACTTCAGAAAAGAACTCTGAACAACCAAATTGACACCCACACAATTGCGTTATGCAGGATCAGAAGATGCAAGGGCCTTGGGATCACGAAAACTGGAAAACAACAAAAACCTGGGTTCCAGAGTCGAACATGCATAGGAGTGTAATTCTACCTATCCTGTTGGAGGTCAAATCAACCTCCAACAGTACCAGGGCTTGTTTCCCACCACTTATGTGGTTCCATTTAGGAGACACTCATCAAAGTTGAATCGGTGATTTTTCTGAAGAGATGACAATAAACGTGCAGTGTGCTCCGGAAATGTGCCCTCTACATCCCAAGCAGCGTTTTCAGTGAACAGCGCCACCTCCCCCAACACCTTCTACTTTCAACTTCCCTTTAAGAAGCATTTTTTGAAAAGCAAAGATAATATGAAAATGAAGGCACCCCATCTGGAGTCCGGCAGCGCGGGAGAACTGGGTGAGGGGCGAGGACCGCAGGGACTAAGCTCCTGGTCCTGAGCAAAGTCCTCCCAAAGGTCGCCAAGTTTCTTCCCCGCTACTTTCCCGGCACCTGCCAGAACGCAGGAAGGGAGGGTGGCTTGCCGCGCCCAACCTAGGGACCCCGGTTCGAGACCAGCCGCGACGCGCGTGGGCGCCCACTCGGCGGCAGTCGCCGCGGCCCCGTGCCACCGGAGCGAGCGGCCCCCGCGGCCGTGGGGCGGCGGTCCCTTGGAGCGGCGGGCGCGGAGCCCCGCGAGCGCGCGCAGCCCGGAGCTCACCTGGCGGCTGGCCGCGGCCTCCAGGGCGGCCTGTGGGCGCGGGCCGGGCCGGGCGGGACGCGGGCCGAGCCGCCGCCGGCCGCCCGCCCGCCTCGCCCTTCACCCGCCGGCCGCTCCGCGCCCCGGGAGAGCTGCGAGCGCGGGCAGCGCGGGTCCCGCGGCGGCGGCGGCGCGGCGCGGCTCAGGAGTCGGAGAGGGCGGCCGCGGGCGCCGCCGCCTCCTCCTCCATGACTGTTTACCCGGCTGCATTGTGGGAGTTTGACCTCCGCCGCCAACCGCCGCCTCAGCTCGCGCCGCCGCCGCCGCCGCCGCCGCCGCCGCGCACGCCATGGGAGCCGTGACTGACGGTGAGGCCGCCGCGGGGTGCGGGGACGCGGGGCAGCGCCGGGATCCCGGCCGGCGGGGGTGGGGGCTCCCGGGGCGGCGCGCGGCGGGGAGCGGCGCGGGGCCGCCGGCGGAGCCCGGGGAGCCCGGGAGATGCAGTGCGCCGAGGGGGCCGCCTGGGGGGCTTCGCAGGCCGGGCTGGGTCGGGCCCACAGGCCGGGCGCCGGGCCCCCGGGAGCGCTGGAGCTCGGGGTGCGGTGGAGCGAGGACCCAGAGCTGGGGACTGCCTCCAAGAGGGGTAGGGGCGTGTGGAGGGCCGGCCGGGAAGTGTACCTGGGCGACCTGCAAGGTAAAGCGCCGGGCGGCTGGAAGCCCGGCTCGGCCGCTGAAGGAGGGCATGGTGGGAGGGTGCTTCGGAGGCCGGAGGAATTGGGGTGCTGGGCTGTGGACGGTGGTTGTCCCTGGACCGAGAGCTGAAGTAAGAGGACATTGGGGAAGTGGACAGATGCGATGGGCAGCTGGAGCAAGAACTGGCTTTGGTACCTACTTTGGTAGAAAGGTTTCTGTGGCTCGGGGCTGTTCTCGAGAAGGTGACGAGGCGCTATGGATACCAGTGGAGAAACTGAGGACAGCGAAAGGCCCAGATTTGAGGACTGGTCGAGGAAATGTCTAGGTGGGGATGAATAGAGGAATTTTGCCCTTATTTCGTTCCGGTTTCGCTTGTTCAGTAGGCATTTACCTTACTTCCAGTCCCTGCTTACTTACGGTTTGCAGCCCAGAACCAACAGGCAAAGCCCTTTCCTCTACGTTTGCAGCTTGGTGTGGCTGTAAGCGTTGAATAATAGGCCTGGCGGGTGACGGTATGTTTATTGTGTATGTGTCTCTGCCCTGTCTCTTTCTGGGTCTCTGCCCCCACTCCCCTTCACCCGTTCCCCCGGGCAGCCCACCCTGCACGTGTGGGTCCTGGGGGTTGAACTGAGGTTGTTGTACATCCGTTTCCACTGGTGACTGGAAAACTTGAAAAGACTTCCTTTGAAGGATAAATAGGCACATTAGGACTGGAATTACAAGTGACCAACCACTTGTACAAGCCCCAAAATGCTGAAAGAAATTAAACATGGCAGGTACTAATTAGCTAGAACTTAGAAAAAGTTAAGCACCATGAATTTTTAAGGTCAGGGAAAGCCATTGGGAGGTTTTTTGATTTGGTTTGGTTTGGGGTTTGGATTTTTTGAGATAGGCTGGCCTGGAACTCAGAGATCCCCATCCCCCTGTTCCTGCCTCCTGAGTGCTGGGACTAAAGGTACTTGCCACCATATCAGGCCAAGTTTTAAACATTAGTGTGATGTGATCAGATCTGCTTTTACTTAATTAATTGAAGTATTTGCGATGCTGAGGGCCGAACCCATGCTCCTATCATTAGGAAAGTGGTTTACACCCTCATCTTGCTCTACACCCTCATCCTGCTCTACATCCTCAGCCCCAGCTTTGCATTTAAAAAGCACACACCCACTCTACTTTGTGGAGAATATTAAGGAAATGGTAAGGGGATTGCTGAACTCACTCTCCCTTTCATTAACATTTATAAGTACTTGTAGCATGGGTCAGGCAGTGTTCTAATTATCCCCATTTTATAGGTGAAGCTGGTACCCAAAGAAATTAAGTAACTTGTTCAGAGTTGCAGTGGTACTAAGTTCCAGAACCTGAGCTTAAAAACCAAGCCAGCTGGCTCTTGTGTGTATTAACTGTGTGTGTGTTGCCTGCATGTATGCTTGTGTACCACATGTGTCTGGTGTCTGTGGAGTCCAGAGGAGTGTCCAACCGTGTAGGGCTGAAAGTACATGGTTCTGAGCTGGTATATAGCTGCTGGGAATTGAACTCATCCCCCTGGAAGAACAGCCAGTGCTCTTAACTGTTGAGGCATCTCTCTGCCCAGCTGGTATGGTCTGATCACAGCTCCTGCTGCAGCGGTGCTAGTGAAAGGTAATGGGGCCAGCACTCTAACTAAGGGAATTCAGTAAGTGAGCAGAGTCATGCGGAATGCCAGGACTGGTTGGATGTGGTGGGATGTCAAAGATGAGCGATCTCATGTATCTGACCTGCAAGATTTTGTGCCTTGCTCCAAAGGAGTGATGGATTTGTTGGGTGAGAGAAGGGAAGGAATACTGAGTTATAAATTTACAACTTCAGCCCCCTAATCCTTAGAGGGCACAGGAACCCCACTTCACAACTGCCGGCTTCTGGCCTTGTACCGGCTTCTTTGAGCATCCGTTTTGTTCCCTGTAAATTAAGATACTAATAAAATCTGCCTTGGAATGCTGTTTTGGAAATAATCAAACACATGCTATATTCAGTAAGTAGCTCTACATGCAGAAGTTATTTTCCTGTCCTCTTCTTCACTCCCCATGGAGAACTGTATCTGCACTGATTGCCCTCCCTGTCTTGTTTTGGGGGAAGAAAACTGAACTGAAGCAAGTACTAAGTAAGCAGTCAGCCAGCATGAGGTGCTAGGCACAGAAGGAAATTAGAGAGGGGAGGTCCTGGAAGATGGATATCAGGTGCATTGTCTGTGTATGTGTGTATGCTAGTTAGATTGAACTAAGGCCCCTTTGCGTTGAGTAAGCTACATCTCCAGCACTGTCCTGTATAGATGAGGAAATGGGGGTGAGGAGGTCCTGGGGAGTTAGTGACTTAGTAGGGCAGCTCGTTTTTGGCAAAGCCACTCCTAAGTTTGGCCAACTGAAAACGAGTTAAGATATGTCACTGTTAATTTAAATTATTCTAACAGCTTATATGTTGGTGATAATTTAAAGTGTGTTAAATTGTGTTAGAACCCTTTTTGTAGTACAGAGAACATTAAGTAGATATATTGATATCTAGAGCAACAGATGGGAAGTGAGAAAATAGGTAAGATGTGATTCTGTGTTTTATTTAATAGAGCTGTTTGACTTTAACAGCTTTCATAGACATATACATATTAAATTTAAAATGATTTTAAAGTGCTCATAGACAATATGACAGAATAATGGAACTATACAATAATGTAATTGTATATACTTTCCAGTGAAGGCAAAGATGACACCGGTCATCTGTAAATGGACAATGATAGCACAGACTTTATGGGGTCACTTCAAGGATACAGTGTGATAATTCATGGAAGCACTTTGAAATTGAATGGCTGTTTATTAACTAAGCCAGCACACTTCTCAGTGAGCGGAGATGGATGGGAGTAAACATTGTAGAAGTGTTTGCTACTACAGCGTTCACTTCAAGTGATCCAGCGTTCAGCACCTTTGTTCGCCAGTGCCAATACATTCATCCCACTTGCTCCTTTGCCTGTGGACTGGTTCAACTAGTCAATCATTTCTTTTTAGCTAAGATAGTTTTTTGAAACAGAATTGGAGTTTTATCCTTAAATTATGCAGTTGACAATCCTCCTGCTTTAGCTTGCAATACTGGGATTGTAGGCATGGCTGGCTTAAAAATTGTTTAACTTAATTTTGGTTTTACCATCAACAGTTTAAACGGGACATAAGTATCTCAGATGAGAGTCAAACTACCTTGTTTACTCATTCTGTCTCCCTTTATGTACAGTCTTAGTATTGTTGACCTTAAAAATCATCCTAATGACTTTAAACTCATGAAGGGTGGGGACAGGGGTTCTGACGTGAGGAATGCAACAAATGGGCATATGTAATTCACCTTAATAACTCCTGAGTGGTGGTAATATAATGATAAATCTAGTAGGAATTTATGTAAACATTATCTTTATATGATCATAGTTCCTCCTCATTTATTATCAGTAAAATAGTTTCTAAACTGCTTTTGCTTATTTGTTTTTATAGAATGGGCTCCAAGGCCTGGTGGGATTAGTACAAGCAACCAGATTACTTACAGAAGGCTTCAATCATGGTAATTTAGGAAGTCAAAATGTTTTAGGAGCCCGGAGGTGGTGGTGCACACCTTTCTTCGGCACTCTGGAGGTAGAGGCAGGCGGATCTCTGAGGCCAGCCTGGTCTACAGAGTGACCAGAGTGCCTTTGCCGGCCAGGACTACACACAGAGAAACCCTGTCTCAAAAAAAAGTTTTAGATATGTTCAGTATAGACCTCAACAATGAGGTGTTGCTAAAAATAAAAATGCTCATGCCATATGTGTTAAGAAACTAAGGAGAAGCTATTCTCAAACCTTTCTCTTTGTTAGAGTATACTCTACAAGGTATATGTCGTAGCAGTAATTCTTGTCTAGTTTTCTAGGTAGTAACTGTCCACAAAACATTAAGAAAGGAATACTGTGACCTTGCTGTAAGTTTGAGACAAGCAATTATAACTGGGCAAAATTTTGAATACATAGCATGTATCTACATAGATAAATAGCTGTATAACTGTCTTTATATACTCCTGTAAAGTTTTAGGACATTGAAAGTTGTGAGGTAAAAAAAATTTTTTTCAATTTTATCCTGGCGTGATCAGCCACCGGATGGCCTGGGAATTGAACCCGGATCCTCTGGAACAGCAGTCAGTGCTCTTAACCGCTGAGCCATTTATCTCCTCTGTGGGTTAAAATTTAACATAAAGAAAAGGATAGTGTGTTTTGGGCATTTTCCTATGGACAGGCATTATTTTCTTTCACTTTTGTTTTCAAGATACTTCTTACCAGTCCTACAAACTAGATAGTTTTATTCTTAGTTTACAGAAGTTACAAGTTGATGTCATATGCTCATACACAATGCAAACTTTAGGTACACAACCAAAACCATTGTCTCCAAGTTTCGACTTTTGGCCCAGAGCTTTAAAAAAAATGTGCTTCAAGAGGAATAGGGCTGAAGTGCAAGAAGGGTCTGAGACTGCCTAGATAAGAAGCCTCTGCAATGCCGGACTAGTTTTCCCACTCAAGCCCACCTGCTCAGTCCTAACCTGCCTTCCGAAACCTGTGATTCTCCTCTTCTTAGGCCATGTAGTTCCTAACTACATGTGGCCTGCCAACCTCCTGACCAGCCTTCTTGCTTATGGGCGTTTCCCAGTTGCCTTGCTCCTGCCATATAGCTCTGCCCATGCATCTACCAACAGATACCAGCCTCTCACAATGTAACCTACATATTACCATTTGTATTGTTGGATTGCATTGTCTTCTTCATCTCGTCTCTAAGGTTCTGGTGTACCTATTCCCCCAACTCTGCTAGAACTCACAGCTTTCTACCTACCTGCTGGGGAGGCATGAAATGTAAAGACTTTATTGGCATTCTTTCTTGTAGAACAGAATAGCTCCCAGATTTTGAGTACTCTTCAGGTACTCAAATCAAACTATATGTTTCTCCATCTTCTAGTCTGTCCTCCATTCTTTTTTATTGGCCCCTCTCTTGATAACCCCTTTTATTTGTTCTTTTATATCATTCCAGGGTATCTATGCAAATACAAGCATATGTAAATATACTTCTTCCATTTTTATTTGAATAACGACATACTGTACATTCTTTGTCTTGTATCTTAATTTATCTCTGTATCAAAAAGTACTTCCTCATTCTTTGTTTCCAATTTAATAATACTCCATCATGTTCTTATACCAAAGTTCAGCTTGTTCACCCACTTATAGACATTTGGGATGTTTTTCATTTATTATTAAAATGTTAACAGTGTGTAAATGACATATTGTTTAGTTCAACTATATCTGATACTGCCTAATGAAACCTATATTAGAAATTTTGAGAAGTATTAATTTAAAGAGCCACTCAAATCCCACCCCATCAGATTGCCCCCAACTCATCAGTAATGTTATACTAATTAATTACTAATTAATTAATGTTACACTAATTAAGTAATTACTAATCGGTAATTACTCTTTTAGCTACCACAGCCACCTCAATGTGTGTGTTGATGTGGATGATATTTCTGCACTGAAAGTGAAAGGCTTTCTATCCTCAGAATTTACACTTACATCTTGTGTACAAATTTTGCTCACACCTTTTGTACAAGTACTTGTTGCTATGACAATGAAAATAAGGGCCAATAGTCTTTGTTAGTGTTTAATAGGAGCAGTGCTCTTTAGAAGGCCTCTATATGCATCACAAACCCAATTTTAAAATACGGAAGTCAGGCTAGGCATGGCATCCCTCCTTTTATTCCAACACTCCAGAGGCAGAGATTGAGTGATCTCTGTGAGTTCAAGACCAGCCAAATGAGTTCCAAGGCAACCAAAACTACATAGAGAGACTCTGTCTCAAAAAAAAAAAAAAAAAAGAGAGAGATCTTGAAGCCTATCATGGCACCTCACCTATAACTGCAATTAGGAGGCCGAGGCAGGAGGATTGTTGTGAGTTGCAGGCTGGCTGAACTACATACTTTCAGGGCAGCCTGAGCTGTGGAGGAAAGTCAAGTTGGGTGGGGTTGTTGATTTGGTTTATTTGGCTTGTAAATGTTTTCCAAATTGGAGTACTGCATTCATATGTAAAGATGCATAGGTCTTAAAGTGTGCACCTGCGATGACCACAACACATGGTTTAAATTGTTTTAGTTACTGGCTTAAGATATCAGTTGTGCTGGTAGCTCCTGTCTGTTTCCTACTGCATTTACGTTTGACATCCCAGGTCTGTAAAGTAGGAAGCCCCAGCATCCAGGAAGAAGGGAAGAACTGGGAAGAATGGAGAGAAGAGAAAGCATCTGAACAGCACTGTTACCTCCAGATTCCTAAACAAAATGGTTGCTCCTCTTGTCCTTTTAAACAGTCAAAGTTGTCATGCATGTTAGCACACACTTTCAGATTTATTTGTTAATTCTTCATGTGTGTGCATGTGCATGAGTACAGGTGCTGGAGGAGTCAGGAAGTGATAGCGCCCTGGAGCTGGGATGACAGGTGGTTGGTTGGTTGCAGATTGTCAGGCTTGAGTGCTGAGACTTGAGTGCTACTCCTCCAGAAGAGCAATACTCATTCTTAACCACTGAGCTCTCCAGTCCCAAGGTGGCCTGTACTCCCAGCACTTGACAGAAGCAGACTGCTGTCTCTCATGTGCTGGGAGTTTAAGGCCAATAAGGTCTACATAGCAAGTTTCAGGAGAGCCAGGACTACAAAGTGAGACCTTGTCTCAAAATGTGTGTGTATGTGTGTTTGTGCGAGTTTGCACACATAAGCACTTACAGTCAAAAATTTATTATTCTGTATTTTAACCTCTTTTTTTGGTTTTTCGAACAGAGTTTCTCTGTGTAACAGTTCTGGCTGTCGTGGAACTCACTCTGTAGACCAGACTGGCCTTGAACTCACAAAGATCCGCCTGCCTCTGCCTCCTGAGTGCTAGAATTAAAGGCATGCGGCACCACTGCCAGGCCATTTTAATCTTTTAAAGGACTATGTTTTATTTATCTGGGTCTCTTCAAATAACATTGTTTAGTGATTAAAGCTTGAAAACTTTACTATTTTTGAGACATAAAGTTAAATAATCAGATGAATCTGTAGCTTGAATAGCCTTTCAGAGAAACACATTCTAAAAGTGTCTACCTAAGGATGTCCTACACTGGGCCCATTTCCACTTCACCTGTGCTTACAAGTACTTGTGCCTACACACACAAGAGCTGTTGTCAAACACTTTGCTGTTGATTCATGCAGGCTCTCCAGAAATTATTCATACTTTAAATTTGTATTCAAAATATAATGCATTTAGTTAAAAAGAAAATGAAAACCCAGAAAACAAACAAAGAATAATAAAATGGTATCTAAGAAAATAATTTTCATCTCTGTAGTCCTCTTATCAGAAACAGTCATTAATGTCGTCCATTACCAGTGAATCCTTCCAGAGATACTTTCTGCATGCATGCATACATGTCTGCACATACTTTTTTTTACATTTCCTTACACATTGGACAGCAGCATCTGCTTCTCTTTAATTATCTAAAGGGGTTGTTTGGGTTTTGCATTTGCAGTCTTTGTACTACAAACAACACTGCTAAAAACATCTTACATCTGTTGTGCATGATGGTGTTCATCTATAACTCCAGCCTCTGCCAGAGTTTCACAATAAGCTATATAGCTGCAGAGATAGATCCTATCTTAAAACCCAAAAGGAAAAAAAAATTCTATGCTTGTGGGGCAGAAGCTGTGTCCATTTCAAGCATTGTTGATTATGTCCACGTCCCTGCGTGTTTAACAATGTGTGTAGGTACACTTTCCAAACATCTTGTCAATAGTTTTTTTTGTTACCAAGTTATGATATATCTGATATATAAGATCTGATATATGGAAATGATTTTTCCCATTTCCGTTTGTCTTTCTGATTATGGCCCAGCATTATTTGGTCCCCGTAAGAACTCCAGCTCAGAACTACTAAACAAGCTGGTTTGAACCCCAGTTCGTTCCCGCCATCACTTGCATTACTTTGGTATTCTGTTTTCTCTTTGTGCTGGGGCACAAATGAGACATGGGAGTCAGGCATAGGGGCTCACACCTGCCATCCTGTCTGTCTGCACAGGGAAGGCGGAGACTGCACAGTGAAGTCCGGGCCAGCCTGACAGTACTGTCTCAAACAAGAAAATGACCTTTTTCTCTGACCTGTCCTCCCTTTTCTAACGTGATGCTGCAGGCTAGGAACCTCCCTGTCTGTTCTTCTGTCAGTGACTCTCACTTAGAGCCGCATGCAGTCCTGGCTCCCATTGGTTTGGACAGGTTTTTTTCAAAAGTAGTTCTCTTATCAGTTATTGACTTAGCTTTTCTGTTGTACTGAAAATTTCAACAACCTATAGAATGCCAATTCTGAGGGCAGAGTTTCACCTGTGACCTCATCCCGTAGAACAGTGCCAGACATACCATAGACAATCACTTTTCTTTGAGGGAAAAAAAAGACTTTTTTAATTGTGGCAAGATGCAAATAAATTTACCAATTTTACCTTCTTGCTTTTAAGTGTCAGCCCAGCTGGTGGCATTAAATATTCTTGTATTTCAGTAATGTCCTTTAGAATGAGTGAATGAGTAGTGATACTGGTTGTCAAGAATTACTCAGAACGAAATGTTGTTTTAATTCTCACTTACCTTTTTTTCCTCTAGACGAAGTCATTCGGAAGCGTCTTCTGATTGATGGAGATGGTGCTGGGGATGATCGGAGAATTAATCTCCTTGTGAAAAGCTTCATTAAATGGTGCAACTCTGGATCCCAAGAGGAAGGGTACTTTTTCCACTGCTCTTTCTGTACCAGTGTCCTGGGGAGGTTTTATCAAGGCTGTGTTAAGTAGTTCTGTTCACCTTCTCTGGCCAGTACAGCCACTTCTTGATTGATCGAAAGCATTTTTTTTTTACATGCATAAAGCTCAGTAGTCAAAGAAGAAATAAAGATTAAACTCAGGCTTAATAATTTGATTGCTTTTCACAAATCAGTATTTGCTTAGTACCTCTAAGTGAAGGTTTCTCTTTTGTTAATAAATAAGTTAATAATATATAAGTTGCTGCAGAACGGTTACATGTCAATTTTATGAAGTTTTTTCCTGGATTTACTTTCAGCTTAAATGACTGTATAGAGGAGGAAAGTTGTGAGACCAGAATTCTGAAGAAAACTTCTAATCACAGTATTGTTAAGGGTGATTGAAATAGTTCAGACAGGTCACTTGGCCTGAGCCTGTATCAAGGAGAGCAGTTGTCTCATCTTGCCTTTGTAACCAGAGCAGGGTATAGGTCCAGAGCATCATAGCTAGCAGAGCAAATAGCAAGGGCAGCTGTTCTAAGCTACTTTAACAAAATAAATAATTGTCAGAACTTGGTTTCACTTAGATTACAGTTTTTTTTTATTCTTTCTCTTTTTCATTAGATATAGCCAGTACCAACGTATGCTGAGCACTCTGTCTCAATGTGAATTTTCAATGGGCAAAACTTTGCTGGTATATGATATGAATCTCAGAGAAATGGAAAATTATGAAAAAATATACAAAGAAATAGGTAAATAATCTTTCTTTGTATAATTATTTTTGTGGTCTGAAGGAAAAGCTATCTGACAGTATCTGCGTTGTAGTAAAGCTGTCTGGGTAATTACAGTGGTAAGAAAGGATCTGGTAAATGGCAGCTGCCACAGTGTCATGTATTAATAGAGGAGCACTGTGTGTTGTAGAATGTCAGTGTCTGTTGTGGTATCTGTGGAACTTGTACTTAAAAGCACAGATTATTATAATTACCTTCTTAAAACTACTTTTTTGTATAGAATGTAGTATTGCGGGAGCACATGAAAAAATTGCTGAGTGTAAAAAGCAAATTCTTCAAGCAAAACGAATACGGAAAAATCGACAAGGTGAGAATGATTTGAAGGACTTTGTGCAGTTATTTTATTCCCGAGTACAATTTCCATGAAGTTTTTAATATTGAAAAGTAAAATCTGCAGTGTGAATCAGTTTATAAACAATGACTCAATTATATTTAATTCTCAAAACTCTGTGACTTAAAATAGAGAAGGCAAGGTATGCTGAAAAAGATTTCATTTTGCTAAAGTATATTGGTTGCCCAAGTATTTCTCAGACTTTTTTCCTATCTTCAGATCCTTTTTCCTAAGCAGTGTTACAGTTAATCTGCAAAGGTGAGCTCTACGACAGATTGAGGTGTTTATTTGCTAGTTTAATGAAGCTGCTTTCTTTTTTCTTCTTCTTTTTTTTTTTTTTTTTTTTTTGGTTTTTCGAGACAGGGTTTCTCTGTGTAGTTTTGGTGCCTTTCCTGGATCTTGCTCTGTAGACCAGGCTGGCCTCGAACTCAGAGATCCGCTTGGCTCTGCCTCCCGAGTGCTGGGATTAAAGGTGTGTGCTACTGCCGCCCAGCTGAAGCTACTTTCAAAAAATGGAAAAGAATTTAAACATTTTGTTAAGCACAAAGCAAGCAACATTATCTACAAAATTACCTAGTAGAAAAGTTCAAGTTTAGGGGACAGAAAGTTGACCCATTAGATAAAAGAACTTGCCACCACGTATGGCCACCTGAGTTTGAGCCCCAAGGCCCACATGGTAGAAGGAGAGAGTTGAGTCCCTCTTTGTGTCACACCATCCCACATAAATAAATACACTGGAGTAAAATAAAATAAATGTAAATAGTTTAAAGATAGACTAAAGTTTAGTTTTATTCTAATCTCTTGTCTTTTAAAGTTAGAATTGTCTTCATCTGGTTCATAAAATATTTGAAAATAATTTTAATTTTTTATATGTGTCTATGTACACATGAGTGCAGGTGCCTATGGAGGCCAGAAGTGGCCATCTTATCTCTGGAGTTGAGGCAGCTGTGAGCTGCACATGAACTGAGAACTGAATTTGGGTGAAATAACAGTATATGCTCTTAACTGCTGAGCTGTCTCTCTAGCTTCCGAAATTATTATTTTTGTTTTGTTTTGTTTTTTTTTTTTGCTTTTTGTTTTAACTGTTCAAGAACTTTAGAGTTTTGTTCCTTAAAAAGCAGATGCTCTTTCTGAATGTTCTACAAAGACCAACTTGGCATCAGCTGCCATATAAATTATGTATCTGTCCACATCAAAGCCCCACTAGATTGTAATCCACAAGGAAACACGCTAGATGATATTCAACACCTAAATAGTGCCTGGTAGATTGCAGAAACCTCACACATATCTTTTGGATTAATGAATTAATATAATTGACCAGATGAAATCAACTCACAGAAATCATACAACTGTTAGTGATGAGGCCAGTATTAAAACTAGCTATTTGCCAGGCGGTGGTGGTGCACGCCTTTAATCCCAGCGCTCAGGAGGCAGAGGCAGGCGGATCTCTGTGTGTCAAGGCCAACCTGGGCTACAGAGTGAGATCCAGGAAAGGCGCAAAGCTACACAGAGAATCCCTGTCTCGAAAAACCAATAATAATAATAATAATAATAATAATAATAATAATAAATAAATAAATAAATAAAACTAGCCACTTAGCACCTGGCAGTGGAACTTAGGAAATTTTTCTCAACTTAATTTACATTTAAATCCATAAAAGTTAAATCCATAACTAACTAAGGACCAACTAAATAAACTTTTATTGAAGTCTTATTCTATCTAACAATTAAGTTGATGATAGTTCCCCAAAGGCAATGTGCAAGACCAAAAATGTGCTGTAGTCTCCATTTACTAAAGTCATGTCTATTAGTGCATATATTTACCAGAAATTATTTTTGATGGGTCTGAGTCTAGTGGAAACTTAACGATAGATAGATAGATAAATAGATAGATAGATAGATAGATAGATAGATAGATAGATAGATAGATAGATACGTACGTACATACATACATACATACATACATACATACATACATACATAGATGGATGATAACCATAACTATGACAGCATTGTGAAGAACTAAATGGAAATAGAAAATATTGTTAGTTATTTGGTGATGGTGAGGTTTTGTGGCTTAGATTCTTCATTTCTGTTTTGTTTTATATGAAAAATATATTGTTTTATAATACAAAAAGATTATTTAGAATAAAATCAGTTTTACTGAATTAATATGCTGTGTTCATAACAATGAGTTGCATGTTTTAGTGAGCTAATCAGTCAGTATTTTACCATGGTCACCACTACCCTCCCTTTTCTTTTCCTGAGACAGGGTTTCTCTGTGTAGCTCTGGCTGTCCTGGAACTCACTCTGTAGACCAGGCTGGCCTCAAACTCAGAGATCCTCCTACCTCTGCCTCCCATGTGCTTGGACTAGAGTTGTGCACCACCACTGCTCGGCTTTTAATCCCCCCTTTGAAGAAGTGGTTTTTGCATCTAGTTATAGGATGTGTGGTGAAGTTTCTGTGGCTAATTTATAGCAAATATACCAGCTTACAAAATAACATCAATTCTAAGTGATTTAAAATGTTTGTGCAGTGTTTGGACAAGTTTTAAAATTAATTTATAATTTTATAATAAAGGTTAGCAGAAGATACATGATTTAATAATGTACAGATTTCAGTGGAGCAGAAATAACATGAATTTTAAATCACTTCAGTTTCTGAAATTTCTAACATAAGAATGATCTAGATACTAGATCTTAGTGATTTTCATCCTTTCTAACACTAACACTGTGACCCTTGTGTTTTGGTACCCCCAGCCATAAAATTATTTCATTGCCATTCATAACTGTAATTATGCTAGTTATGAATTGTAGTGTAAAAAATACCTGATATGCCACTCTCAAAGGGGTTGAGACCCATAGGTTGAGCATCACTGGTCTAAAAGGATGTATTTTCCTCGGTGTTTTTTCTATTTGTTTGTTTGTTTGGGTGAGGGTGGTGAAAAATAGTTAATAAGATCCTTTCCAAATCAGTCATTCATTGGTGATACCAAGTTAATTTATACTGCTGCCAGCCTCTTATATTTTGTCATATGAATGGAAAACCAGAAGTGAGAGATAAAATCCCTGTTAAGTCATGTATGATTGTGATCATGATTGAATTAAGGGAATTGCCAGTGCTCTCCATCACCATCGCCTTTTATTTTATTTTATTTACTTATTTATTTATTGGTTTTTTTGAGACAGGTTCTCTATGTAACATCCCTGGCTGTCCTGGAATGTGCTTTGTAGACCAGGCTAGCCTTGAACTAACATAGATCCACTGGCCTCTGCCTCCCCAGTGCTTACACCACCACGCCTGGCTCATTATTGTCATTTCTTTATTTAGGAAAGTAAATATTTTTCATTTATGCATTTTATTTTGATTAATTTGGCAAATATTTTCGTGTCTTTCAGAATATGATGCTTTGGCAAAAGTGATTCAGCATCATCCAGACAGGCATGAGACATTAAAGTAAGTTTAGAGCATCATAGGGAGCTGCTTCTGCAGAATTGTTGAAGATCTACTCTGCACATTTCATTTTCAGATAAGCACACAACATCCATCAGAAGGAAGGGCCGGTCATATTTTCAGTGTTACATATTCTTAGGCTGCATGACTAGATTCTCGTCTCTCTCCAGTGTCACTACCTCAGAGGCAATGGATATGTGTACTCTGTCCTAGTGCTATAACAGAACACTGAATACCAATACAAACTCTGCTAGATACACATTTTTAAAACGGCTCAAACAAACAGTAAAAAAGACACTTAAAGAATTTCAGTTTATGAAACATATACATCTCATTTATGAAAATTAGAAACTCTCTCTCAAATGTTATGTACTAATACTGTATATTATTCAGAGATATAAATAGATGTATCTAAAAGAAATTACAATGATGCTTGCGGTATCTGAGTGGGAAGTAAAGTGGAGAAATAGGTGTGGGATAGAAAGACTGGGAGTCCGGTTCATAGAAGAGTTAATTTACTGGCTGAGTTTTTCTTTCTTTACCAAAATAAAAACTGAAGTTGGTGTGCAAAATATATCTGTTCCTGGGTTTTATTCTATATAACTGTATTTTCATGTCATTTTAAAATTTGTATCTAAAAGTATAGTTGTAATAAATACAGTATAGTTTAGGAGATCAGAAATCATTCTCAAGTTTCTAAAATCTTACTACAGGAGTTAGACTCCTTACTCTTTTCTTTTTTACTTTTACATGTTATGGATGCTGTGTCTGCATGTGTGTCTATGAACCATTTGCATGCCTGGCGTCCACAGTGGCCAGAAGAGGGTGTCAGATTCCTGTGACTAGAATTCAGACAGTTGTGAGCCACCATGTGGTTGCTGAGAGTAGAACCTGGGTCCTCTGAAAGAGAAGCAGGTGCTCTTAACTGCTGAGTCATCTCTCAAAACCCTTTTATTTTCAGAGTATTATTTAGTGGCCAAAATAGTATATTTATAAATTCTCTTCCCTTAAATAGCAAAATATAACATTGTGCTGTTGTTTCCCCCACAGGGAGCTAGAGGCTCTGGGCAAAGAATTGGAGCATCTCTCACATATTAAAGAAAGTGTTGAAGATAAGGTATTTGAATATATCCATTATCCTCTGTGTGTGTGTGTGTGTGTGTGTAAACCAACTTACATAAGTTGTTTCCTTCTTAACACAGCTGGAATTGAGACGGAAACAATTCCATGTTCTTCTTAGTACCATCCACGAACTTCAACAAACATTGGAGAGTAAGTAAAAAACCATTTCAAAATTACTTCTTATGAAGACTTTAAATGATCAGGGTGTGTGTCTTTAGAAGAATACTTTGTCTAAAGAGTCTTCCTCCAGAGTCTAGTGGTATAGCTGGATGGCGTTAGAAAACGCTCCTTTGTTCAACCTTCTGGATGCCTGCAGAAGAGCGGTAACGTTGTAGTCTGTGCTTTGCATGCATGTCTAGTAGTAAGAAACCTTAAGGGATGATAGGGAGTGTTTCCTGGCCAATGATGTGGGACACAGGCAAGGTACTGTAAGTCATCAGTATGTTAGGCTGCCTACATGGCTAGCAAGTAGGGTATGCCAAGATTTTTGAAGACTTGATCGTTCTTGTGACTATAACCAACTGGAATTTTCTGTGTTCCCTGATGTCTGATTATTTTTTTTTTAAAAAAATCAGGCTAAGACCTAGATTTTGGTTTGTTTGTTTTTAATGAAATTTATCGCACAAATTTTATATCCTCAGTAATAAGTAAGAATAACTAAATCAGCCTTTTTAAAAAAGGTATCACATTTATGTGTGTGTGTTTTGGGGAGAGGGTTGCACACATAACTGTGGCGTGGGTGTAGAGGCTCGAGGACAGTCTGTAGAAGTCAGTCCTCCTCGTCCCTTGTGGGTCCAGGACCTAGCCTGAGTCCTCGGCTCAACCAGGTGGGAATGCCGTGACCTGTGGAGCCGTCCGCAGCCCCACCTGTCATTTGCGTCTTTGTCTGAAATGTAGTTGCTAATACGAAATAAAACTCTTCATGCATGCACTGGGCATAAAATCTAGACGATGTTGAATGAGGGTTTGTATCTTCTTACAGATGATGACAAGCTGTCAGAGGTGGATGACGCTCAAGAAAGTGCCATGGAAGCAGACCCTAAGCCGTAGACATCGACAGGCTGACTGTCGCCATTGGCAGGGTGGTGGAAAGCCGCACGGCTTACTGGGTTCAGCTTGTTGTGGTTGTGAGGCACTTCAGCTTTGGCAGTGAAATGCTTTGCTTTTAAATATTAATTCATGTCTCACTCATATTTCTTCACACAAAGGAAACGTGTTTGGTGTATGTGTATTTTTTAAATGCATTTTTATCCTTCAAGGTAGAGTTCAACATCTGAAAACATTTAATAAAATGTCTCAAGCTGGATCTTTGTGCTTATTTAAAACTAGGTAGCTAGTAACAGTTGCCTTATAAAATCAGCCGAGGACTCTAAGATTGCATCTGGGATACACATGAGGAACCCCTTTTGGAAATGCAGTCCTTGAGCAGGCTTTAGGGGGGCCGTAATCAATATGTGTGCTATGTGTTCATTGTGGGGACAGTTTCCACACTGTTGGGAATTGCTGTTGTATGAGATCAATCCATCTGTATTGCTTTTCTGCTTTTTTTTCTGTTAGTGCTTGAGAAATGTGGTTAGTAAATGTCTCCTCTCCACCCTGTTGTTCTTCAGGAGTCATTTTTAAAGTACTTATTTTTGTGCCTGTGTGCACGATACGTCGTACGTTTACATGCTGGTGTGTGGGGGAGTGCACTGCTGGAGCATAAGTCAGGTTCAGATGTTGGCCTCGGCTCTTGCTGCTTGTCTTCCACCTTCTTGAGGCAGCTCTCTGTTTGCTCCTGGGCTGTGTACTTGGGCCTCAGAAGCAGCAGCAGGTGCATGGGAAGCAAGCACTCCTCAGCTTGAACTTCCTAGTGGTTCTCTTGGAAAGCCTTTGGAACTGCTTCGAAGACTGAAGGATCTCAGCCCCTAGAAACTCACAGTGCTGAAGCTCAGCATGTCTTTGGGCCAAAAGCTTCATGGATTTGTCAGTCACTCTTTCTATGAGGTCATCCACCTATGATGGATACAAAGAAAGCAAAGACAAGGTTGTTTTCCCAAAAGTGCCAAAGTAGTATTCTAATTCAGCTCATAGCAAACAGAGCTTGAAAACAGATTTACACACAGGGGTTAAGGCGACCTCATTCCTTATCAAGCCTGTGTGTGCCTTGTTTTAATGGAATTCTCTTAATATTTATTAGACACTCGGTGTCATCCTAGGTCCCCTTAGCACTCCCTTAGCCACTCTCAGAAGCCCCCTACTGGCAGTATTTCTTAATGGTGATTGTTAATTATGCCCTGCTCTATGCTGTCTTACAGGGCAAGCTGTTGAGTGAAGCCTGCTCTCTGGTGCCTCTGAAACAGAAAAGAGAAGTCTTTGCCTGCATTTGAAGTTTTCCCACTGTCAGGTCTGGTTTCTGGAGGATGTCTTCCATGCTCTGTTTCTTCTTTTTAAGTGCTGGAAAGTGTGGTCTCTTTTTTGATGAATATGGTCCCTATTGTCAAAATGCAAAACATCCCATTAGGAAATGACTGTCAGTTCTACCCTAGCCATCAGCACGCACCCTCGGACATTCTCTCACAAAGTGGTTGTGTACCAGGTAACACAGGTGAGATCTGTATTCACGTTCTCTGTGCCCATGTCTTTCCTTTGTGCCCAGAGCTTCTTTGAAGAGTTCTATAGGGTGCAAAGAAATGAGACTAGTGGGCTCCGGAAGGATAGACAGTGTCAGGGAAAAAGCAGGTCGTCGGAAAAGACACGAAGAGTTGGCTCTGGCTGCTAAGCACAGGGAGTGCTGGCTGGTGTGGGCCAGTGCACAGAGAGCTCATTACATTGCATCCCATCGTTCTTTGCTCTCATGTCTCTCGGTCTCCTTATTTTCATAACAGTCCAGACATAAAGAAGCCCTGGATTCTTCTGCCTATGCCTGGCATTTTTTCCTTGTCCCTGACTTCCTATTACAAGTGCCTATGGGAAACCATTCCTGGATGCTGAGACTTGCTGGCTGCATTCTCCATTCCCTTGTACGTGACAGTCAGCTGCACAGAGAACAGATTGTGGGGTCATATTTAGGTCCTACCCTTTGAAAGATGTGCAGAACCTGCCAGCTTGCCCATACTGAATTTTCCCAGATCCATCTAAAAAGCCCGTTAGAGGAGCTTGGGGTTTTGTTTTCTCTCTCGCTGTGTAGGCCCAGGCTAGCCTAGAACTCACCCTGTACCCCAGTCTGGCCTCAATTCAAGATCCTCTGCCTTTGTCTCCTGAGTATACCACTATGTCATGCTAAAATCCCACTCTTCTCATACCCAGCTAGTTTTTTTCTACTAAACATCTACCCTAATTGGTGGTTACTAAGTATTCCTGTGCTTGCTCAGGATGACTGTTGCAAAGTTGGGTGTTGAGGAAGGTTTTGTAAACCAGGATGAATGAGGGGGTGTGGCCCAGAGAGAACAGGCCTTCTGTGGAGGGCACCTCTTTGCAATCCCTACTAGTTTCCCTACGGCATTGTGTTTCTAAAGCTTCTGATTTTTCAAAAGAAAATTAGAAACCTGCATTTTTATTTGAAAATGTCCTGCTTTTACAATTTGGACAAGTAATTCATACATAATTTGGGGAGCATTGTGAGGGCTAACTAAAACCCTTGTATAGCAATTGACAACCCCTGATTTAATGTCTTTTGGTATGCAGGAATCCTTAATTATAGCTAGAATTTTCCATCCTCTCATCAGTGCCATTTATACCCTGAGAAGACTGTGTCCTAAAATAGTGATCTTATTGTCCTGAAGTTTAGATTGTTGTTGCCTTTCCCAGTTAGCTCTGTAGCTCACCAGGAGTTGGACTGGTCTATGAGACTAGGGGCTCAAGTTTCACTTTTCCTGTATGTATATCCATTTGATCCACTGCCATTCTACAAGGTTATCCTTACCCCACTGCTCTACAGTATTTGATAAGTTCACCCTCTTTTGGACTATAATTTCCATAAAAGCAAGACAACATCCATCAGCTCTTCCCTGTAGTCCCCAAACCCAGAGGTTGCCTAGAATAGAGTAGAAGCACAATAGATGCCTGGCAACCCTGCAGCAAAACTCAAAATTGCTTTTGTGCATGGACAGTGGTAGTCTAGAGTACTGCTGATTGGAAACTTCTGCTTTTCTGGAAGGGTAGAAATGTTTATCTGTCTGTGCTTTTCAGTACAAAAAGATACAAGCTGCATGCAGTTTTGAGCACTTAAGTAGCTAGTCTTTTTTTCTTTTTTTTTTTTTTGGCGGTAGGGGGTTGGGGGGTGTTGTTTGAGACAGTACAGACACCTGTCCTGCTCTGTAGACCATGCTGGCCTCCAATTCAGAGATCTGCTAGCCTCTGCCTCCTTAGTGCTGAGATTAAAGCCATGTGCCACTGCTACCCAGCCTGAGAAACTACACATTTAATTCCATCTAATTTAAATTAATATAGTCATAGGTAGCTATGGCATAATATAGTTAATACACATTATTTAAGAATGTGGTTGGGGCCAGGCGGTGGTGGCGCACGCCTTTAATCCCAGCACTCGGGAGGCAGAGCCAGGCGGATCTTTGTGAGTTCGAGGCCAGCCTGGTCTACAGAGTGAGATCCAGGAAAGGCGCAAAGCTACACAGAGAAACCCTGTCTCGAAAAACCAAAAAAAAAAAAAAAAAAAAAAAAAAAAAAGAATGTGGTTGGGGAGCGGGAGGAAGCTGGCTCATCAGTAGAGGACATGCTTATTAGGTATGAGGCCTGAATTCAATTCCCAGAACTATGATAAAAGAATGAGAGAGAGAAGATGAATGAGAATCCTCAGCCTTTATTGGAAATCTGATTTTCCCACTCATTTTTACAAATTAGCAAACTCCTAGAGTTATCCCTAAAATAAAGTATTAACTACCTTACAGAATTGTAATGATTTTCTGAGTTGAAAATTTTAAGCACTTAGAACAGCCTGGAACTGAGTGCCAGTGTTAAATAAGTGGTTATTATAATAATAATAGTTCAGGGTTCTGTTTTTAAAATAGTCTAAACAACTAGGAAGGGAGATACCCACAGTCTCTGCTACTCAGGAAACTGAGGCAGGGGGATTGATTGTTGGATTTGGAGAATTTGAAACCAGCTAGAGCATCAAAATGAGATCCTGTCTCAAACCATCTAAACAACAAAGAAACAAAACCAAGCTGGTTGTGGTAGCACATACCTTTAATCCCAGCACTCAGAAGGCAAAAAGCAGGCAGATCTCTTAAGTTTGAGGCCAGCCAGGACTGTATAGTGAGACTCTAGAAGTAAATTATAACTTTAAAAAAAAGCTACATCAGCGGCTGAAGGTTCCACCAAGCCTGAGGACCTGAGTTAGAGCTCCCAAGACCTACATGGTGAAGGAGAGAGCCAACCAAGGCAAGCTGTTCTCAGGCCTCCTGTGCACCCCTCCCCTCACACAGAATAAACAGATGTAATAAAATTAAAATAAAAGTATCTTTGGTTTAGACTCAAGATTGCCTACAAAGTTTATACTTGAAAATCAAGCCACTAAGCTCCAAAATCAATCAATATATCACAGGGACTTGGGGGGCTAGTTCAGCAGGTAAAGTGCTTGCTTGCTGTGTACATATGAGGCCCTGAACTCAATCCTGAGAACCCAGGTTAAAACAAATCCAAGCACGGTGGTGCACTCTCATAATCCCAGCTCTGGGCAAACAGACACAGGCAGGTGGCCAGACAGCCTTGACTAATCCCTGTGCTCAGACCAAGTCTCGAGAAAAATGAACAGTTCCTGAAGTAGACAGTAGAGATTGTCCCGTGGCTCCCACATGCACACATGGGTATGCACACCAACATGTCAGAGCATTCCACATACAGGAAAAAAAAAAAACCTCAATGCTTTAAGTTTACAATTATGGATTTATTGTAGGCTGCATTCAGCCTGTCTGCAGGCTGGACATACCTGGGTCATCTAGCCGTGATAGTGACTGACGTTGTAAATGTAGCCATTTGAATTAAGTCACTTTTGATTTTAGATTAAAATTAAATAACACTAATTCAGTTGCCTTCTTACGCTAGCCACATTTCACTCTCAAACGGCATATGTGACTAAATAGCTACTTTATCAGATGAATGATGATGCCTTTTTGAAGTTGTTGGGCAACACCACCCTCCACATAGCATCCGGATCAGCCAGATTCCTAGTGTGTGACTTCAACTTTTGAACAATTCAATGAGTCTGCACAAAGCTCCAGACTAATGTAAGCCAAGCTGTGGAAAGGGGCTGAACTGTTGAGTCAGAAGTAAAAAGATCTGATATGGAAAAATACCCTCCTTGTGCCTTAAATTCTTGGTTGGGGGACACAAGCAGCAGATATACGGGGTTACAGTGGGCGAGTGAAGCTAAAAGAGAACTTGATTTTTGGCAAGTCCCAGAGAAACCGATTTATGTAGGTCTTTCACGGCAAATTGAAGCTAGCACCTTACCTTCTGCAGCCCTGAAGGAAGGGATGTCACAGATAACCGCTTGGTGGTTCTTCTTGCTCGGAGGAGCCGGGTTCCTGCGGTTACCTCTTCTGCCTCTGCTTCTACAACATCAAGCTGTATAGTTGCTTGAAGAGGAGAAGGAAGAAGAAAGAACATGTGAGGATAGCAATTGCAAACATGGTCTTCTGGAAAAATGGTGTGATGTGCTGCTATACTGCCTTGGAAACTTTTCTTCCTTGGGATTGAAAATAAAAAGCAGACTTGCTTTCCTGCTGTTAGACTGCTTACTGCACAAAGTTGCCTCTTAGTGGCCATAGTCTTGCCACGTTGATGACCTCTTCTGGACGCTTCACTTTGCCCTGTGTGGTTTTCACTTTGGCCATGATGGAGTTAGGAAAAGGGACCTTCAACTAGGAGAGTTAAATCAGTGTAATGAAGCGAGTTTTACTTGTTCTCCAGAAATGCAGCCAAAACTCGGTCACTCACATACCATCAAAATGGATGTCCCATATCTAGGAGCCTTTTCTGAAACATTTTTAAAGGGATTTTTTTATGTTCATAAGTTTTTATGGGTTTTTTGTTGGTGGTGGTGGTGGTTTATGTTTCGCCTGAATGTATGCAAGTGCACCAAATGTGTAGTGCCTACAGAGGCCAGAAAATGGTATCAGACTCCAATGTGTACTAGGAGCTGCTCTGCAAAGCAGCAAGTGCTCTTAACCACTGAACCATCTCGCTAGTTCCAACTAGGAGCATTCTTAATTATTTTCTTCTGTGAAATCAAACTCAGCTCAGTAGACATTGTAAAGGCAAATTTAAAATGCTACTATAGGGCCAGTGAAACGGGCCACCAAGCCTGAGTTCAATCCCCAGGATGCACATGGTTGAAAGAGAGAACCAGCTCCCACAAGTTGCCCTCTGACCTCCACATGAACACGCACACACACAGACACACACAGACACACACACACACACACACACACACACACACACACACACACACACACACAAATACATTTCTAAAAGGTTTATTTTAATGTGGGTGTGTGGGTATGTATATATACACATAAGTGCGGGGACCTATAGAGGTCAGAGAGGGCATCATATCCACTGGGGCTGCAGTTATAGGCAGTTGAGAGCCTACCAACGTAAGTGTTGGAAACTGGCTCATAAACCATGGAACCATCTTTCTAGTTCCACAGTGAATAAGAGCTGGAAAGGGGGATCAGTCTTCTTCCAAAGGACTTGGGTTCAATTCCCAGAACCCACATGGCAGCTCATAACCATCTCTGGTTCCAGGGGATCTGATGCCCTCTTCTGGTCTCTGCAGGTACCAGGCACACACACAGTGTACTGACCTATATGCAAGCAAAATATCCATATACATAAAATATATAAATATAAAAATATAATAAAATAATAAAGTGATACCATATGACTCCTAGGTAAGATGGCCAACTAGGACCTGTTTCCATGTGACTTGGTGAAGGAGGACAGCTGGAATATAAAACAGTTTGCTATATTCCAAAGACAGAGGAGCATTTAAGAAATCCACAAAAGACAGCCAAAAAGTGCACTGCAAATGGCTGGTAATGTACCAAAAAGGACTAAGCTGAGCTGAACACAGGCTCTGGATGCCCACTGGGAGAGAGGGAGGGAAGCAAAAGTGTCATTCAAAAGCTAACCTGGGCAATCCTGCTGAAAGGAGATGGGCACTCCTCCTCAAGACAGGCATGCAGCCTCACAAGCATAAAAACATTATAGGTTTTGTTGAGACAGGTTTCCTTTATCAACAAGTGAGCAGTTGAGCGGAATTCTATTTTTCCCCACTCTGTCTGATTCCAAGGGAAGTAGTGAGGAATCATTGTTTAAAATTGAACTATCCTGGGGCTCTGAGAAGAGCCTAAACTTAACCTCCACATCCTCAAGAATTTGAAGTAACCCTAGGAGGCAGTTGTGGAGAGCAGGAGTACATGATGTTGACAAACTGAAAAGCTGGGTAATCTGGGCAGAGAGCTTGGCTCAGGCAGTGCAGTGCATGGGGAAAGGTAGTCAATCCCCAGTGGTAGCCCTGAACCCACAGTCAACAGGCAGATAAAGTTCTGGACCTACATATCTGCCATACTCAATATTTAAACCCAGCTTAAGATATATGAGACCCTGTCTCAAAAGTAAATAAGTAGACAAATAAAAATTTAAAAATCACTAGCTGATTGGTTATAAACAAATAAAAAATTTCCAAAGAATAAATGAAGGAAAAATTCCCATTCACAATTGCTTCAAATGAATGAACAAACAACAAAACCAACAAGTAATATCTAAGAGTTAAACCGAGTGAAAGATTTCTACAGTAAAAGCCTTAAAACACTAAAGAATGGATTGAAGAATTCACTTTCCACACTGTAATAGGATTCTCCAGGGCAGCAGTTCTCAACCTGTGGGTCATGACACCATCAGATATTCTGCATATCAGATATTCACATTACAATTCATAACAGTAGTAAAATTACAGTTATGAAGGAGCAATGAAATAATTTTATGGTTGGGGAGGTTACCACAACATGAGGAACTGTATTAAAGGGTTGAGTATTAGGAAGGTTGAGAACCACTGCTATAGAAAAACAGAACTGATAGAATAATACAGGGGTGAGGGTTTTATCAGTGTCTCACAGGTTGTGGTCCAGCTAATCCAGCACTGACTGTCCACCAACAGAAAGCCGAAGAATCTGGTTGTTCTGTCCACAAGGCTGAATGTCTCAGCTAGTCTTAAGTGTACACTGGAATCCTGAAGACATAGACTAATGCCGGTGAAGAAATGGACTTGCCAGCCATAGTAAGAGAGAGTAGGTAAAGAGAGAGAAGGGGTGGGGAGGGGGAGGGAGTTTCCTCCTTGTGTCTTTTATATAGGCTACCACAAGAAGGTATGGCCCAGATTAAAGGTCGATCTTCCCACCTCAAAAAATTTAGATTAAAAGAGGGTCTTCCTACTTCAAATGATTTAATTAAGAAAAAACTTCTTACAGGAGCACCCAGCTCCTTGGGTTTTAGTTCATTTCAGAGGTAGTTAAGTTGACAATCAAGAATAACCACACAGGTTTATGAATTTTTAGAATTAAAATTCTGAAAATGCACCTATTACCAAAAATCATCTATAGATTCAGCAAAATTTCCATCAAAATTCTGATAGCGTTCTTCACAGAGAGGGCAAAACCATTCTGTAATTCATATGGAAGCACAAATAACCCCAATTAGCATAGCTGAGCAGGAAGAGAGAGCCAGCGTCATCCCAATGCCTGTCTCAATCTTCACTACAGAGCCATAGTGACAAAACCAGTGTAGCACTGGTACAAACACACACACACACACACACACACACACACACACACATACACACACCAATGGAGGATCAGAAATGCACGCACATGACTATAGCCACCTAACATTTAACAACAGTGTCAAAAACAACCACCCAAAACTAGCAAGCCTCTTCAACAAAACTGGATACCTACATTCAAAACAATGAAACTGAATCTGTAGCTCTCCCCATACACAGCAAAACGGTTCAAAGGTCATGTAAGATCCTGAAACTGCGGCAGGAAAATGTGTGCAAAACATTTCAAGCTAATGGCATAGAGAAGGTCTTCCTGAATACAACTCTGATAGTGTATGAGAATAATACAAAAACTGACAAATGAGTTTGCATAACTTTAAAAGGTTTAATTAAAATTAATGAGGATGGAATAGAAACTCACTTAGTACAAGGACAAAAACATTAGTAATACAAAGCAAGAGAGTACCAGCCACTTCACCCCAAGCTAAAACACATGCTTCTAACTGAACTATACGTGGTCAGGGTTTGAGTACCACTCTTGTCTGGCTGAAGACTAACAAGCATGAGAGACTATCAGCTCCTAGGCAAGAAGCAGAACAGGCTGAGAGCCACAAGTTGGCTTTCCAAATCTGACAATTATTTAAGAAATGTGTGGAGGTCATCTTTCAAGAGAGAGAACATTTAAAAGCTTCTCATTTTGATTTATATCTTTATAAAAAACACACTGCACATCTGATTTGACAACACTGAGCAACATTCCCAACTTTAGTGGTAAAATCATTAAGTAGCACTTTCTGTAGATGACTGGCTGTGTACAGATGTTCACTTAGCTTCGTCAAATTTCTACGCTTGGTTCTTTTCTGTGCCCCTCAATATTCCATTGCTCCTTATTTCTGTTGACTAAGAAGTCAGTTAAGAAGGTGAGTACATCCTTAGATTATGAAATCTGTGGTACCACGTCTCCATATTTTTAAAATGGGCATGTGTTTTAATTTAACATGCTAATTTTATCCAGAGCAAATTTATTGAACACTTACTCCTTTGTGCTGTGCATATGTAAATTTCTTTCCATATCCATTAGTTGAATTGACTTAAGATGAGAGTAACAAAAAAAATGGCCTGTGAGGTAGGTAGCTCATGGCTTATATCTGTAAATAAACTTTCATTGGAACACTGTCACACGTGTGTGTGTGTGTGTGTGTGTGTGTGTGTGTGTGTGTGTGTGTTACAGTGAAACCATTTCATTATAAGGTAACCACAAAAGAAGGATCTTTTTTCCTTGGTAGGCAAAACAAAAGTGCTTTCAATTGAAAACCAGCATCATAAATAACCATTAAAATGGATGTGGCATAAAAATACATCTAGGGCTAGGAAGAGAGCTGTCTGTAAAATGCTTGCTGTACAAGTGTGAGGATGCCAGTTCAGGCCCCACAGCCCTTGTGAAAAATGCAGAGAGGCTCAAACACGTGCATCTCTGTGGCTGTGCCACCAGCCACCCTAGCTTCAGTGGGCCCCTGTCTCAAAATAGAAAGCAGTACATGGCACTTGAAGAGAAATATTAGCAGAAAGACTGAGTATCCCAACCAAGATGAGAACAGTGCATGATTAGCAGAGATTTCTGATGCAGCTTAGTGGTAGAGACTCACGTTCTCTGTATCCTGATGGACTTTTCCAGTAGTGTGATAGGGTATTTTCTCTGAGCCCACCAACATTATGTTGCACACACAGGGATTACTGGAAGTTAATAGTTGCTGGGAGATTGGAGTGTCATTTTCTTCAAAGACATAGCCACTAATAAGTTGTCCAAATAAACCTCCACCCATGCTCATGCAAACAACCTTAATTAAACTCAGTCTCTCTCTCTCTCTCTCTCTCTCTCTCTCTCTCTCTCTCTCTCTCTCTCTCTCTCTCTCTCTCTCTCTCTCTCACACACACACACACACACACACACACACACACCCCAAAGACATGAAAATAGGAAGGGAGCTTGTGGGAAGTGGGGAAGGGGGTTCAGCAGGAGAGAGGTAGTGATGAAAGAGGATGTGAGGGTAAAGCAATCACCCCAAAACATAAGCAGTCGATGAAGTTGTCAAAGAATAAAAATAAGTAGATTTTTAAATTATATAAATGATGGGTCTGGAGAGATGTATCAGTGGTTAAAGGCACTGACTGCCTTTCAGAGGACCTAAGTTCAATTTTCAGCACACATATGATGGCTCACAACTATCTGTAAGTCAGATACCTGCAGATTTGATGCCCTCTTTTGGTCTCTGTGGAGCATCAAGCAAGCATGTGGAACACAGACATATGCAGGCAAAATAAAATACTCATACACATAAAATTTAAAAATATATAAACAAAATCAAGCCTCCTTTATGTCTTGCCAAATTATGGATTTCATTCCCCCAATTCTCTGTGCAGCCTCTGCTGCTGGAACTGGCTATTTGGAAGGCTGTGTTGTACCTCCTATAGATGGAAAACAAGAATCCCACCATAGTTTCATTTTCTAATGTATGCGTGTGTATGTATGTCCACACTTATGCACATGTATGCATGTACATTTAAATTAAAAGTTAGTTTAGAAGCCAGGCGGTGGTGATCAGGCCTTTAATCCCAGCAGACAGATCGCCGTGAGTTCCAGGCCTGCTTACAGAGCAAGTTCCAGGATAGTCAGGTCTACAAAAAAACCCCTGTCTTGAAAACAAACAAAAACAAACGGACAAAGTTAGTTTAGAACGACTCAATAACTTATTAACCAGACTCAGAGGAACCTCAAAGACAATATAATCTATTTTTTCTCAAATTTTATACATATATTAAATTGTATACATATATTAATGAGCCAACTGAGGGGGATCCCGGTAGAGTATAAAGTTTGACTCAGTTGACCTAGATGTAGCCAAAGATTTTGCGTTTTAGACAAGCTCCTCAGAGTTGCCATACCTAGAGGAGAAGGTTAAAATTTTGCCACTCTAACAAAATACCTGAGATAATTAACCTATGAAGAGAAATAGATCTTTTGGTTCAGGTCTTAGATTTTTCAAGCCCATGACCCAACAGACCCAATGCCTCTGTTAGGGATAACAAACAGCAACCGTGGGTAGTGTGTAATGGAGCAAAGCCACACTTTATGATCAGGAAGTCAAGGAGGAAGACAATGAGTTTGGTTGGATCGTGCATTCCTCTTGCTAGGGCATGTTTCCAATAACTTAGGGAAATCCCCATCAACCCCACTTCCTGATAACAACACCCAAAGAGACAAGCCAATGCAAGTGTCTTTGGGGACATTCAACATCTAAACTTCTGTCCATACTCATTTTACTGTTCCTCTTGGCTACTTAATATTAAATTGCCATTGGTTACCATTCTGTGAGAGCTTTCTCATCCTCGGCTTTGTAAACAACCTGGGAGATGGAAGCTCCTTGACAAGTCTAGGCAGCAGGCCTTGTGTGTTGGAGAGGGCGACTTCCATCTGCCCTGTAGGGCTCTCCCTGCCAGCTCGGGCTGACTGGCTTCCACACTTGCAGGACAGCATTTTCCCAAAAGCACTCTTCATTTTCTTCATCAGGTTTCTTTTCTGATTACTTTGATTTTCATGAAACTCCAAGTCACTTTCATTTAGTGATTCCTCTTTGGGGACCAACACGTTTTGTTTAGCTAAGTTGGTAGACACAGCTCTATGCCATCTAAACAAAAATGGAAACAAACTGCATTAATGATATAAAAAAAATTGAGGGCCAGAGACATGGCTCAATCAGTAAAGAGCTTGCTGTGCAAATATGGGGACCTAAGTTTGGATCCCTAGAGCACACATAAAATGTTTGGTGGGCATGGAGACAGGAAGGTCACCAGGGCTGGCTGAGCAGTCAGCCTGGTGGAAAAATAGCACATTCCAGGATAGGAGAGACCTTGTCTCAAGGGCATAAGGCAGAGAGCCATAGAGTAAGACAATTGATATCCTCCTCTGCCCTCTGTACTAGCGTACACAGGTACACACACCTCCACCCCCCTACACACACACACAACTACTCACAGGTTCTCCCAGTGGCTGCTATTCATTCCTTGGAGAATGTCATCTAAATGGAACCTTGCCGTGGAAAACATCCCAAGCTTCCAGCATTTGTCTCTGTTTTATTTTATTTTATTTTATCTTATTTTATTTTATTGGTGCTGGGGGTAGAATGCACAACCTTGGAATGCTAAACAAGCATTGTACTAATAAGCCCTACCCTCAGCTCTAGGACGTACATGTTTGTTATAGAATTCTGTGGAGCCAATGCTTCCCCTCTTTTCATTGCTGAGTGATACACCACAATGTGGATATACCATGCTGTGTTCATAACCATCCACCCATAGAAGAACATTTGAATTGTTTCCATTTGGGAGCTATTATGAACAAAACTATAAACATCAGGGTACAAGCTTTTCTGTGAACATAAATCTTCGTTTCCTCAGCATGAAATCCCAGCTGTAGTGTGACATGATTGCATTGCTACACTATCATACACTATCATATACAATAGTATGTTTATATGTTATACATGTTTCTAACTTGGATTAAAAGAAATTAATGAGCATTAAAATGTTCTTCATATACTACCTAATGTATCTCAGGTACCACCATAACGGTGTTTTTACTTTCCAGCAAAACATTGCTCCCAACTGGGTATATATCTCTCAGCATCAGAGACAGTTATCTTTGGGAGAGATTCTAGTGGGCATGTGGTCACTGGAGTTTGACGGTATTGATCTCAGAACCATACCTTTGGACTGAACACCCTTGGGCATGTTATTTAATTCTTACAAGTTTTAGTTCTCTCAATCTGAAAATAGAAGGAAATAATTTGTATGTTTGGATCCTAATAAAGCATTCAATATGTGACAGGCGTTATTAGCCTATGGATAAAATGAGGAAACACATTCTAGAGGTAAAAGGAAGGCAGCCTCATGGGCTGAACTCCTTCTCTCCAGGAGAAAGGCCACAGAAGGAAATAGGCACCTCCTGGGGTCACTATTCACCCTGAAGACCTAATGGTTGTGCAGAGCTGTTTCAGTAAAGGATCCCGAGGAAGGGGCTCCATTTCCTTACTTACCCAAAGATAACTTGTCAGCCAGGATCAACCTTCTGTGGACCCCCTGAGACTTAGTAACTTTAATGTTTTAATAACTTATACTGCCATGAATATGTCCACAACCACTCACATACAATAGAAACACATCTCAGGATGTTAATGGATCCCGAAGGCCCTCTGTGTAGCTGCTCAGGTTAAGACAAATATTTTGCTTTAAGCAGGCAGTGGTGGCACAAATCTTTTCCCCTCAGCACACAGGACACCAGTGTGGGAGGACTGAGCACAAAGCCAGCCTGGGCTGTTACAGAACCACCAGCCTCAGAAACAGCAAATAGACACTCACGTCATGTCTGATTTCTAAACCACGGTTAGAGAAGGTAGCTTGTTCCAGGACCTAGGAAAAGAATGCCTATCGTGTCTGTAACAGAGAGGAACTTTCCTTTTCAAGTTTTTTGCTTACTTTTGTTCTTGTTTGTTCGTAATGGATTTATTTGCCCACATTGTTTCCTCCTTAAACCTTGATTTCTTTGTGGAAGTGAACAGCCAGCCCTACAATATTTTACTTTATACATGCAAGTGTAGAAGCATAACCTGTGACATCCCAGCACCTCAGATAAACAACTCATCCGAATTTCTCAGAGCTGTGACTTATGGGTCTACTACAGAAGGTGCCCAAATACAATGGAACCTGAACTGCCAAACTGAAATTCAAAACGAAAATGTGGTACTATTGTTCTTTATGGTTTTGTCATTGGCAAGAAATACCAGGTCTCAGGCAATTTTGATGTTTTACTGAAGAGAGTTCAATGGTAAAATGGGGTTAGGACACATTTCAACAGTGAAAGTTGCTTTAGCAGGGAACAGAAAGCATTGATCGTGGTTATACACAGATTGCATTAATATATTTTCAAAATTGCATATTCATTGGTGTGGGATATGAGAAGACTAAAATACTGATATTGAAAAGGTATCAACTTAATACTGACATTAATCTCATAAGACACATTAAAACTCAAATTCAGGTGGAAAGTAAAGCCTTTTCTTTATTAAAATTGAGGCACTAATAACTGCAAAACATGATTTCAACAGTACTCTAGATCCTGACCCAACGCAGCACCTCCTCCTTCCTAGAACACATACAGTCTGGATTTTTAAATTATATTGCTTAAATGGAGACAGCACCTTCTCTGGTCATCGTAATGAATCTTATATAATGAAAGACCCCAAAAGTAACCATGGGAAAGGAAGCGAGTCCTTGTCACTTACCTTTCTATCCCTTTCCCTTTGAATGAGCCATTTTTCCTTTTGGGTTGCTGAATTCTGCGGTACTGGCCAATCTTCCCATAGGCAAGCTTTAGGGGTTCAGGATGGCACAACTGAGGGTACTCCATTCTGTCGGTTCCACCTCTGATAACCGCTTTGGGGTTCTTTAGCTCTTGAGCTAAGAACTTCTAAACAAAATCATCCCATGACAGAGAGCACTGCCTAGTTTTTGGATGTTTGGAGCAAAATACGTAGGAAAATTTTGGAATCTCCTCCTCCAGGTGTGGGACTGGCCAAAATTTACTTCAGAGGCCTCCAGTGATGCATGTAACAGAAGTGTGGGGAATTCCACGGTACCTTGTGAAATACTACACAGAGAAGGCACATTCAGAATAAAAAGTCACAGCATAATTGGTAATCATATTAGATATTCTTGTGTTAGTTCTGTAAGGGAGGAAGAGACTGGGTCTTGAGCTTTTCTGTTAGACCTGTCAGCAGATGAATGTTATTCCATGGGACGCGCACAAAGAGGCAAGCCGCTGTTTGGCTGTCTCTGTGGTCACTGAGAGGGTGACTTCATTACATCTTGAATTTCTGTTGAAGACCCTTAAAGCTCAAGGTTTAAAAGTTCAGTACCGCACCACCTGCATGTTCTTTCTGCATTTGTTTTATGGATAAGGGCAAATCGCACCTAGGTGAGAATTTACCACAAGGTGGCAGCAGACACTAGGCTATAGCTTAGTCTCATCGCTCATTGGCCTTTGGAGTTACTGAGTTCAACAGGACTGGATGCTTAAAAGGAAAGCCTCTGGAAAGCCGATGAAAGTAAACATAATTTACTCTGCTTCCTGTGTTTGTAGCCATCAGTAATTTATATTATTTAAATGCATAGCATTTAGTTGGGGGTCTTGTTCAAATGCTGATTTCAATACAGTACATTTGAGATGGGACCCAATATACAAGTCTCACAGATTCTCAGGTGGTGCTGATAATTTTGGTACAGGGGATTTTGTATGTTTCAGTATCTTGGAGAAGAGCTTCAGATGAAGCAAGGGGCTGGTACTATGACTTAGGGTTGAACACTGGGTTCAAAACTCAGCACACACACACACATACACACACACACACACACACACACACACACACACACACACAGCAGAAATAAAAAGTGTACCATGGAGGTGCTAAGATGGAGTGAGTGTTCAGACAGGACATCTGAACTTCTGCTCCAGCCTGGTGGTGTGACCTGATTCAGGTCACCTCACCTATGTGTACTTATTTTCTTATCTCTCAAATAGGAATGCTATGGGGTGCCATCAATGCTTTATAGTGAGATTCAAAGTAGAAACTCTGCCCAAGAAATGGACCTTAGGGAACATGTTGGACGTCTCAGGATGCAGATGGCCTCTGGCTCACACTGGAGGGGACTGCACTACACTGTGATTGAGCTGCTTGGTCCCTTGGAGCCCTTTCCAGTCTGGTTTTCCTTTAGGTGAAAATTATAGGTATTAGAATGAATAGATACATAAATGCACAATTCCTTCAAGCAGGATTTTTCACACAGTGATTGGTGTTGCATCTTTATTCTGTTGGATTCAATCAAATATGTGGTCGGCTGTGGCTAAATTTTATGTTAGGAAGAAAAAGGTTATTTTATTCATGTGAATGTGTGTTCATGTTTGCACGTGTCTCTCTGTGTGTAAATCTGCCTGCGTGAAATAGGCCAAAACATGTGAGGCTGTCACTTCCTGTAGGTCACAGAACAATCCTGAAGCATATAATCTGGCTAAAAAAAAATGTCCAGGGAAGAAGAACTAGGACACACACATATATCAGTTTTGAAGTCAGGCCGGATTTAAATCCTAGTTTTATACCTAATAAGCTGTGGGATCTTAGGAAATGGGAGAAAAAAACTCCCTGAGGCCCAGTTTTGTCATGTTTAAAACAGAGAATAATCAATGACACCTCCCACCAGGGTGGAGTCTGCCTTTCAGCTCTCAACAAATATTTGAATGCTTAGTGGTTGCTAGGCACTGATATGGACGTCAGGGACGCTGCAGTGAATAGTGACCCTTCCTCCCACCCCGCCACACACACAATCCAAACTACCTTAAAGTGCTCCGGGAGAGCCTGACAAAAACAGATGAAAAATAATTTCAGCTAGTGGTGAACGCTCTGAAGAAACAAAAAGGGACCATAGGGTCAAATGACAAGGTTGAGGGGTCACACTGGATGGAAACACTGGGGAGTCTCTCTGGTGCGGTCTTTGGGCCTGAAAGCTGAACAAGGAAACAGTGTGTGAAGATCTTCATGGTTCAGACAGATGGAACGAGACACAGGGTGTGTGTGTGTGTGTGTGTGTGTGTGTGTGTGTGTGTGTGTGTGTGATAAGCTAAGATATAATCTGGACTAAACCAGCTAATGACAACATACCACCTTAAAGTTGTCTCAGCTGGCTCTTCAGAGAAAGGGGAAGGGAAGTTAGCAGGGATTATAAGGAACTCATCCATTCATATTTATTCAGGGCAGTGGAATCTAGCCTGGAAAGAAATTACTTAGAATTCCTGCTAGGATTTACAATTCTTGAAGAGGAACTTGTACTCTAGGTATGTTTACAAATAAATTGTTCCAGGAACTGATAAAGGATGCTACATAAAACTAGAAAGCCACCATAGAAAAAGTTATCAAGGGACCAAGAAAAGCCTCTTAGAGAGGTGACATCTGAGATGAGATATTTCATGGGACAAACTGAGTTAAGACTTGGGAGAGGAATTTAAAGAACAAATAACCACCTAACCAAGAACTGGGAGGTGGATGTGAACTAGGCACATGTGAGCGCAGAAAGATCAGTGTGGTAGGCATGTGGGGGCAGGGGAGAACACTGCACCTATGTCTTAAAAATCACAGCTCAGAAGATGTGCTGGAGATGGAAGACACCTGTGGGAAGGGCAGGCAGGGAATTAGTTCAGGCACCACCGGATGGTGATGGCTGGGTCCACCGACAGGAAGTGTAATGAACTGGACGTGGGGGGAAGGCTAGGGAGTTAGGGTGTTCCAGTAGTCCAAGTACAAGAACACAGAAGTGTGAAGCTGTCATTATGGTCAGCCATTAAAGGCTAAGGCTCACAGCTAAAGAAACAAGAACACAGTAGTTTCACTAAGGAGTACTCAACAGAGCTGGAGACAAAGGTACAAGTCCAAGTTTCGCCATAAATCTAGTTTTCTTTTTGACAGCCCTCACAGTCCATGGCTTGGAACCACCCCAGGTGAGCATTTCCTGACCATTTGTACAAGTCCCTCTGAAAGCCAATAAGCTGCCCACAGCAGGTCAAAGTCTGGTTCAAACACAGCATCCCTTGCTCTCAACATTATCCTTCGGTTGAACACACATGAGATTGCATAATCCTATTTCAGTTACCATGGCAACAGTTGACTCCTATAGAGATAGCAATTGATTGAAATCTCTAAATCAGAGATTTCGAACATGACTCCCTGCAGGAGCCTGGAATGGATTTGTGAGAAGCAATGGAATGTGGTAGGGAGGGGTAGGAACTCTGGCAAACTGTAAAGTATTGGGATAATCAAATGTTACTGAACCACACATTTTTTGAGCTTTGTGAATATAAAAATATGATTCACAGCCCATAGTTGGCTTGGAGGTCACCACTCTGCTGTCTTTTCCAGGTATTTTTGTGTTAACTCTCCAAGCAGCCAGGTCTTGTGAAGGGACCCCAAAGTAGCTTGACCACACAGCAGCCATAACAGGCTTAGGGGCCTACACACAGCTTCTGTGACAGGCTTACTGGCAGGCAACACCCAGATCCAGGAAAAGCCTTAAGCTGATACCACCCAGGGATCCACCCAGGGATGAGGAAGTACCTGACATCCCAAACATTCCAACCATTAGATAAGGTGACCAGATGTCCTTGAGTCTAGCACACACCTATTTTTTGTTTTACAGATACCCTTAGACAAATGTCAGCCAGTCAGGGTCCTGGATCCTGGAAATCCCCTCACCCCAACCTCTGCTATGATAAAAACTCTGCCCCACCTGGGCTCAGGGCTCCCTGTTCTCACCACTGTGTTGGACAGCCAGAGGGATCAAATTCTGGAGCTTGAAATAAAGGCTCTTTGCTTTTACATGTGGAATTTGGTCTCCGTGGTGGTCTTTTGGGGTCCCCGCGATCTGGGCATAACAGTCTTTGCCACTGATACTCTCAGATCTGGTCCTCCTATGGCCCAGGTTTCAACTTGGACTCATAACATTCAGATGGCTCTTGGCCACTTTCAGGCTGTTTTTGCATTTTACCTCTAATCTGGTCTGCTTAGCAACTTGCAAGTCCTCTGCAAATCCAGTAAACTGAGACTCTGGCTCTTGATTTTAAGCCTGGGTATAATGAACACACCAAGCAAGACAGGACAATGTGGAGCAGGGTCACTAGTAAATGATATCCTTTCAAATCTTAATGAGCCAAGCGAGCTCATTTCTGGAAAGCCCACTAATGCTAGCCACCCCCACCTTCACCACAAACACCCATCTCCACCCCAGACCCCTGAATCAGAGTTTGTTTTCCACCGTGCTTAAATAAATCCCTTTGCTGGAGCTTTAGTGCTAAGCAGAGAGGTGTCGCTTTACAGATCAAGGAAGTGTGTACACGGTGCCTAGAGACAGTGGTCTCATAAAGAGATCTGCACCAACAATGTGGATACCTTAGAAGTCAGCAAGAAGGGTTGGAAGACAGTGTCTGAAGCCACCGGAGCCCTGAGTCAGCCATGCTTTCTGCCCATTTCTTCCTTGTATTGCTTGCTGCCTCAGGTTAGTGCTTCTGACTTTGGACTCCCACTAATGAAGCAACAGTTGGATTGTCTTCCACTGAGCTCCTTGTCACACGTTCTAGCACTTTCTTGGGGTTGGTCTTGTGAACTCAAATGCTCCATGGTTGTACCTCATTGGACAATCTACCTTCTTCTCAAAATGCTTTCATACATGCAGCTTACAAAGGGGAATAGGGCAAGTTCTCTGGGAGACAATGGTCATTTCTACTAGTGTCTGAAATCTGGAACCTCAGAGGTGAACGTCCATGGAAGGATTACCTATAAAACTGCACAGTGATTAAAAAAAAAAATTATGTGGCTCATTTGCAATATCAAGAACTAGGAGAAATATTGCAGGTAGTGTAATGACATTGGTGCATGGGAGGCCCTGGTGGGTTGGGCCAAGGTGAGGGAGGGATGGTGATGGGCGAGGGAAACCTCCATGCAGATGCAGCAGCGAGTGGCATGAGGCAGTGGAAAGTTACTTATACCATGCAGACACAGCATCCACCCATGTGGAGAGTTTATTTTTGGGGGGAGGGTAGAGGGAATAGAAGGAGGGAGAGAGAGAGAAAAAGAGGGAAAGAGAGAGAGAGAGAGAGAGAGAGAGAGAGAGAGAGGGAAAGCAGAGATGTGCACACCTCATGGTGAGAAAGGGAAGAAGGAGAGGAAGAAGAAGGGAGGGGTTTTCCTTAGGAGGCTTTTATGTAAATGAGGTCAGGATGCTGACAAGGAGACAATCAAAATGGCTGGTACTGTGTTCGTCCCACAGTGTCAGAGCAAGGTGCTCTGATGCACAGGCAGACGGTTGGAAGTGTGAACTCCAGAATATCTCTTTTAAATGTCTATTTGATTCATAATGAGGTAGGCATAGAAAGTCCTGGAAACACATATACTAAGAATTTAGTAGTGATTATTTTTGAGGTTACAGGTAGAAGTGGTAGAGTTGGAAAAATGGGGAAGAATATATAGGTGATTTGAGTTTTACTTTCCTTTATATATTTTTTTATTTAATTAAAGTAACATAAGTTCTATTTTCCATGAAAAGAGCATGTAACATGTCTTAGTAATACTTTAAAATATTGATTCATGTTGGAATGTTATTTAAGTACTTTGAATCAAGTAAAATCATCTTTAATTTTTACCATCTTTTAAAAAGGACTTTCAACAATGTGGTTACTAGGAAACTTTAAATTACATGTTGGATAGACTTTTAATTCTAAACTCTTTGCATGAATTTTTCTCTTTTGATTTTTTTTTTTTTTTTGAGAAAGGGTCTCACTGAGTGGCCCTGGTAAGTCTGAAACTTACTCTGTAGGGTGGCCTTGAATTCACTGACATCCACCTGCCTCTGCTTCCTGCGTGCTGGATTAAAGGTGTGTACCGTCAACTTTTGCTGACCTATGCATATCTGTCTGCAAGACTTGGGATTTTTAGGACCTTAACGAATGGGGAGGATTACAGTCTAATGCTGTTGACTACTTACTTCGGTTTCAGTGTATTTTTATACATGAATGAAATAAAGAAAGCATGATACAAGGAAGGTTGTTTGAGTTCACAAAAACATGGTCAGGAAAACATGGAAATAAATGCCAGTAAATACATACCAAGTATTGACAGAGCAACCCTTTCCAGAACTTTCTCAGGAAAAACTAATTTAAACATAATTGCCTGGCATGTACTATAGATTATATCTGAGAAAGCATGGAAACAAGGCAGAAGGCTGTATCCAGATTCAGGGTACACTGACCAGAATGGGCCCCATAGCTATGTTCTGACATCCAGCAAGAATAAATATGTCTTATAAATTGAGTGTAAATTCAGTTGTAAACACGGAAGTCATGAAATCACACCCAAGAGCAATCCAGGGAACAAAACGCACCTGAGGTCAAAGGCCCTCTGCTTTTTTCCTCAGCCTCTCTCACAGTTCCCCATGGGTCATTCTTTTAAGTATGTTCCATGGATGCAGCCTCTATTTTGATTTTTGAGACAAGATCTCACTACAGCCCAAACTGCCCTCCAACACATGGTCCTCTGGCCTCAGCCTCTTGGCTAGCACAATAACCTTGTGTCACTGTTCCCTTCCTGGAAGAACTTTTTTGAAGTGTACAGAATACTGTGCTTGAATCCAGTGCTCTTTTGCTAAACACACACACACACACACACACACACACACACACACACACACACACACACACGTATTCACACACACACACACACACACACACACACACGTATTCACACACATCCGATAAAATATTTTCTACATGATTTTTCATATTTTGAAAAATCTGTGTTTCCCATAGAGTAGGGCCTTCATGCCCACATGAGCTGAGCAGCAGCCCTTCTGTTACAAAGGGGTGGCTGTCAGTTTTCTGCAGTGCTCGCCAGTCTCTGATGTCTGGCAAGGAATGGAGCTGCTTTTCTGACCTGTTTTGCCATGAAACCAGGTTCTTGATTTTTGGCACAAAGCATATTAAAGAAAAAGTTAAAAACCAATTGCTTCTTCACTGCAATGGCCAACGAGGCATTATTAGATGCAGAAATAAGCAACTAGCTACATGGCTCAACCTGTAGAATTGAACCATAAAATCTGACCCAATTAAATGACATGTAGTTACAAGCTTTCAGATACAGTCAATGTCACATAAAACCTACATAATTAGTGAGGAGGAATCACTTCATTTACTCTGTTACTCATTCAGTTAACAAGTATTAACTGAGTATATACTATGGGCAGACACTGTTCTTGGACCTGGGAACACAACAAACGCCTGTCTCAGATCCTTGAAGCTTGTATTTGAAGTAGAATTGCAAGAGACAGTGCCCACAGTGTGGACAGATCACTATTTGTCCAGAGAAGACTTCAGGTACAGTGACTCTTTATGAGAGACATAAAGGAAATGAGTGATCTGTAGATATCCTGGAAGGATGCATTTTGAACTTGCTTCGTACGTATGAGGAACAGGGAAGTTCATATGGCTGGAACAGAGTGAGCAGAGCCAGGGGAGCCCAATGTGAGGTCAGACAGACAAAGCAAGGACTACCCTGTGGGTTTTACATTTCTATTTCATCCTTTTTTGAGTGTTTGGTTAGAAGATAACCTCTGATGTATGCCAGGCTGGCTGGACTGCTAGCTTCTGGGATTCTGTTGCCTCTGCCCCTCACCTCACTTTAGGAATGCTGAGACAGACAGGAGCAAACACAGCTGGCTTCAAAGTAGATTCTAGAGAACAGAACTCACATCTTCATGTCTGTGCAAGTGCCTGACCCACTGAGCCGTCTTCCTAGCCCTCCCTGCCACCTGAGGTTTAGGGGCCAGCAGATGAACTCGACCTTTTGTTCCATGTAAGACCTGAGGCTGATGGCCGACCCTCGGAAAGGCAGTGATGTTGCCTGACGTGGGCTTTGGCACACTGCCATCGCTGCTGTGGGGAGCACAGTCATATACATTATACTCATCAATATTTTCTTACATAATGTAAATAATGTCTGTGTTCATTTTCTTTTGTTGCTGTCCTAGTTTGTCAAACATCATATATTTGTGGTTAGATGTCTGACATGTCTAACGGGGCTCAAATGAAATTTTCAGAGTTGTGATCCTCCGGGAGGCTTCAGGATAGGTGCACGTCTTTGCCCTTTCTGGCTTCTAGAGGCTGTCCATATTTCTTGTCTCTGTTATAAAAGCCATCAGTGACTTATCTTTCTCCCTGTTCACATTTTTTTTTTTTTTTTGCTGTCTTTTGCTTCCTTCTTATACTTTAAGAATTCTTAAGATGGACGGGTCCATGCAGGTAATCCAAGACAGCTTCTTCCCTAAGAACTTCAGCTTAATCACAACTTCAAGGTCCATTGTGCCTTGAAGAGTGTATTATGTGGTGGGGACTAGGAACTAAGTATTTTGGCTAGGACAAAGGGGCCGTTCTGTCACAAGTTCTAAATGTTACTAAATAACCCCCACCCCTACCCCCACTGCCAGCATACACATGTCTCTAGAGTGCATATTTTAATCACAGAGAAAAAGTTCTAAACCAAGCTTTGAAATATGGAGAGGGAAATCTGTGGACAAAACTGTGGTTTGGAATTTTTCAGAACGCTCTTGAGCAGAGAGACCGAGCATGTCCTGAAGCATGTACCTGGAAGTAGAGGAGGTAGAGGAGAGAGCGTTCTGAAACTGATGGCTGCAGAGAGCCTGAACCTTTAGAAACACATTCCAAACTTGCAAGAGTCAGGAAAGGCCTCTTTGGAGTGCAGGCACATGAACGCTGGAGGACACCGTCAAGCAAAAAGGGACAGCTGTGGGCAGATGGAAGCTGCATCTCTGCACACCGAAATAGTAAAATCTAAAATGGAGTTTGTACACACTGAGGACATCTGCCTAGCGCCTCTTCCCCGAGTGCAGCATCATTCCCTTCTTAGTAACATGGAGTGGGAATGGAGAACAGATGGAGATATAATTCTTAAGTTCCCTAACACCTGGCCAACCTCACAATCCACACTTGGCCAAGTAAACTGAAGTGGTAATTTTGTTTACTTATAACCCCTTATTTATCTTGTGAGCAAAATTGATTTCTCTTGTCTTCTAAGTGAATTATTCTTAAAATAATCCTTCTTTTTATTTGTAAGCTCTTATCATTTGTAAATAAGGATCTTTGATTTTTTTCCCTATCTGTGTCCACTTTATCTCTTTTCCTTGCTTTATGGCTCTAGCTCAGACTTCAGTTATGATATTGAATAGGAGTGGGAAAAGTGAATGTCCCTATCTTATTCCTGCTTTTAGTGGAAATGCTTTGATGTTTTTCCACTTAGTATGATGCTGACTGTGGGTTTATTCTGTATTGCCTTCATTATATTGAGATATGTCCCAGTAGTCCTAGATTTTCTAGAACTTTGATTATGAGATATATTGGATTTTGTCAGAGGCTTTATCTGCCTCCAATGAGATGATCATGTGATTTCTATCTTTGAGCCCATTTATGTGATTATTACATTTATTGATTTGTATTTGTTGAAACACACTGCCTCTCTTTTGATGCATTCTTGAATTTGGTTTGCAGGTATTTTGTTGAGAATTTTTGCTTCTATGTTCATTGGAGAGACTGGGCTCTAATTTATTTTTTTGTTTGGACTTTATCTGGCTTTGGTATTATGGCAATACTGATTTCACAAAAAGTATTTGGAAGTATTCTTTCTGTTTTTAATTTATGGATTCTTTGAGGAATACTGATGTTAGTCTTTCCTTGAGGTTCTGGTAGAATTTTGCACTGAATCCCTCTTGTCCTGGGATTTTTTAAAAAGTCAGATGATGTTTAACTGCTGTTTCTATTTGCTTGGTTGCTACGGGTCTACTTAAATTATTTACTTTGTCTTGATTTCACAATAATAGGTCATATACATATAGAAAGTTATCCATTTCTTTCATTTTTTTAAATTTTTATTTATTGATTTTACATACCAACCACAGATTCCCCCCCTCACATTCCTCCTCACCCCCAACCTTCTCCCTCCTCCTCCCCTCCTCTAACAGGGTAAGTTCTCCAATGGGGGCACAGCTAAGCTTGGTACATTCAGTTGAGGCAGGACCAAGCCCCTCCCTGATTTATCAGTGTGAGCAAGGTGTCCAACTATAGGTAATGGGATCCAGAAAGCTGGCTCATGCACCAGGGATAGATCCTGATCACACTGCCAGGGGCCCCTGAAACAGACAAAGCTACACAACTGTCTCCCCTATGCAGAGGGCCTAGTCCAGTCCCATGCAGGTTCCACAGCTGTCAGTCTAAAGTTCATGAGTTCCCATGAGCTTGGTTCAGTAGTCTCTGTAGATTTTCCTATTATGATCTTGATCCCCCCTTGCTCATATCATTCCTCTTCCCTCTCTTTGTCTGGACTCTCAGAGCTCAGCCTGGTGCATGGCTGTGGATCTCTGCACCTGCTTCCATCAGTT